AGATCTTTCAACTGAAGATGATGGGACAGTAGCATTTGCATTAACAAAGGTACTTTTCCTGCACGTGTTGTTGAAGGTTTGTTAATCTGTCAGTTTTAGTGAGTGCCTGTCTAAGGGACTGGAGGGATAGCCTGCTAGCATCACTGCTGGCTTGTCAGAGGTCTCTGCGGTTAAAGTTCTTCATTGTGCCAGGGTGTATTCTTGACAGCAGAAGCAGTTAAAAACAAACACGTTTCAAACCAGTTCTTAACAGAAAAGCAAAGCTGGGTATTTCCTTTTTAGACAGAAGCAGCATTTGCATGAACTGGTGCTGCTTTGGCCTTCAAGAAAAGTAGCTGTAGGAAATAAACGTGATTCTTATATAGGATGCTGAAAAAACCACTTGCTCCTGCTAACTATCTGCTACAGAGATACTTTCCAGCTCTTAAAATACCAACATCCTAATATACTGAGGATACTGATGCCTTTTATAAAGAACAGTATGCTTTGCTAAAGGCAAATACAAGTATCAGAGAAAACTTACATTATTTTTATGTTGCATAGGTGCAGCAGTACAGAATAGCGATGACGGCTAAAGACTGCTCCATCATGATTGCCCTTTCACCCTGTCTACAAGATGAATGGTAAGAGAACTGTTTGTGATTGACTCCTCGTTTAGAAATAGAAGATGCGTTTGTACAGTTCAGTCAATTCAAGTAACCGTTAGAAAAAGTGGGGTTTTTGGGAGAGTGTCCAAATATTTGGCTGTGAGCATATTAGTAAGGTAGAGTTCTACTTAAGACATTTAGGACAGAAGTCTGTTTTTGATGAGTTTTAAGTTGATAAAAATATTTAAGGTTTTATATTTATTCCCTTCTTGAAATTTGAATTGATTGTTCATAGTAGATATATGTGGGTTTAACTAGGAACAATTGTTTTGCCTTGTTGTCCTCATGTGAGTTTTTGAAGGCAAGTTGCCTTTAACTGCCTAATTAGAAAAAAAGGATTCTTCATTAAAGCCAAGGCAATAATCAAGAGTTGACATCTTTCACCGTAAGGCAGGAGGCTTTGCCACAATATTACCTGTTTTGACTTGTGTCAGCAATGATAGTCTGCTTTTACGTGGGGGAATTTGCTTTACTAAAGCCTTGTTATTTTTAGAGAATATTGTTTTCTGCATTTGCCTTGCAGTTCTTGGATAAAATGTTCATGATGGAGATGACTTGTGCAGTGGTGACTTAGTAGTAAGTCCTCCATCCTTCAGTATGCTTGGACACGAGTTCTGACACTAAATTTGTATTACCTTGAACCTAAGTTGGAGCAGCAGTGATTCTTTCTGCAGGCTTACTAAGGCTAGTGCTATGCATGCTACCTAGAAAGAGATTAGAGTTACTATATGCAAAGACACAGTAATTGAGTAATGTTTTGACTTAAGCTGTGTGGAAGCTGAAAGGAAAAGGACTGAAAGAGGCGCCAGCAAGTTCCTTTTAAGACTGGTTAAGCTGGAGCTATGGTTTCCAAAATTAGCTGAAGTTTATTTTCTCAGGCTCCCAGTAAAGTTCCAAGATAAACGTTAGAGTCACTTCTGCAAGGGACTCAGGATACACAAATGAAAAACTTTGGCTGTGGTGACTCTGATGTGCAATACGGTTTTGTTTTCCAGCTCTGAGCAGAGACCTGTGGTACTAACCTCCAAATCAAGATTCACTTTCTCTGTGTCTGTCCTGGACCTTGATCTAAAACCATACGAAAGCATTCCTCATCAGTACAAACTTGATGGCAAGATAGTAAACTACTATTTGAAGAATGTACAGGCCAAAGATGACCCAGTTATGTCCAGTCTATTCAAGGAGAATGAAGACTGCACATTAGTTCTCCATAAAGTGTAAATGTTTCCTTAAGGTTATTTTTATTTGAACACAGTAGAAAGCAAAAGATTAATGGAATACAATTATGGTGATTTTTTTTCCCCTATTGTGTTCAGTGCATTTTTCAGCTGTGAATGTTTTTGCTTTAAGAAATGATTTCTAATTGGTATGCCTTTTCAAAGACATGGAATAGCACTAAAACACACATTTGCTATATAACCTTAATGAATGTATTTAATGTGACAGAACGGATAATGTGCCATACCTTGGAACTAGAGGACAGATCAAATTAATAGTAAAAGTCTGCTTCCTTAGAATTGAAAGAGCACAAAACGAAAGGTTTCCTGAGGTATTGCATTAACGTAGAAAGCCTAATTACTAACAAGAGAATTGCCTTGGAGCTTGTGCTTTGAGTCTCACTCACACCTACTAGGAAGAGGGAATGCTCTGACAAAACCTAATATAAAACTTTAGCATTAAGTCCACTGAAAATACAACCACAGTGGCTGCTCAAGTGTTACTGATCTAGGGAACTACCACATAACTGCAGAACACTTTTAAGTACTAATGCATGAGATTAAGAACACCAGACTGCCTCCAGAAGTTTTGCCATCACCTCGTATCTGCCTAAAGCTTCTGAAACTAAGTGAAAAGGGTTAAAGGTAAGCGTCTCTGAATTTTGTGATAGCTGAGCTTAACTCATCTGACATACTGGTCTTTTATTTTCTATACATTATATGCTGCTATTGAAGGTGAAACCACAGCTCGCTCTTACCTAATTTAAATTGAGCTATAAGAATAATATAGTCTGAGTTTTACAGATTATTTCAGGTCTTTCAGAGTGTGTCAAATGTTGGCATTATTTCACTGATATCCCACATACCGCGTAGCACAACCAGCTGCTTTCTGGCTTGTTCTCTTTAAGTAAGTGACACAGAGGAAAGGTGACAGTATCTGATGTCCTCTGAAGCTGCAGAGGGGGGGTCATCTTCTCATCATGAGTACTGGAGCTCAGCTCACATCACCACTCCCGCAATTTCATAATGGCTTGACTTTGTAAACATTGGTATGTGCAGGTGACGTCTTGTGAAGATGGTGCAGTAAAAGCCATCCTGAAGGAAGATCCTGAGTTGGAGCCAGGATAGATTCAAAACTGAGGGTAGTATGATAAAATCTACAGCTGCTTTTCCCATACACTTGGGGATTATGCACCCCAAAATGTGCAGAGAGATGCTATTCAAGCTACAGTGAACTGCTATTACCTGGATACAGCATGTGGTTCCTGGTAATGTTTTTCAAAATAATGTAGGCTAACATTTACAAAACATAGATTTATATTGTAATCTCAATGTAACATTTGAATTGTTCCATTTTACCTGAAATTCAAAAAGCAAACCCAGAAAGCCCTGTATACTGGCACGACTCAAGGAAGGGATATGAAATGTGGAGTAACACCACTGAGAGCAATAGAGCAACTTGTTGTATTCCACCCCCAGGTGCTGGCGTGCCTTTCTGGTATAGACAGGGGCACGGGCTGCTCTCGCTGAAATGGGGTACTACAGCACTGCAGTAGGCTGATAGTTGACAGCAGTGATAACCCCTTCTCTCCAAAGCAAACCTGCGAGGGGAGAGCGCTATTTTTAAATCCAGAAATCCTCCAACTGTTAGTTTTTGGGGTTTTATGCTGTAATTTTACACACACTTCATATGCAAATAGAAGTGTCTGTGCTGATCAAACAGTTTCATTTTCATGCAAGAAGGAGCTAAAGATTAAATAGAGGTTACACAAAACCAGCTAAACCAGTAACATGTCAGTGGGTAAAGTAGCAATGAATTTTGCCTGTCTACTGGATTCCAAACTTGAAATTAGTTTGCCTTATAGCTAACAAGATAATCTTATTACTGAGTTAATCTAAACTTAATCTCTGGCATTGCTCAGCTGTAGATTCTGACAGAAAACAAACTGGTCTGTCAGTTATTCCTGACCTATCAGAACAGTAGGAGACTATTTCAGCAATCAAATAGCAGATTATTAAAATTACACTATTGTACTGTTGCTTTAGTTCTTGATTTCTCCACCTATTTCACTATTGCTATGTAATATTTTGTTATAACTTATAAGCAGAGCAGGCGGTTGTACTGCTTGCATGGTTAGAGAGCTGTGGACCTGAAAAGGAAGTCTTAGTATTGCTTGAGAGGCCACAGTTCGTGTTTTCAGCCCCTTGACTTCCAGGAACAACTGTTACTCCCTGAGAAGTACGCGACTCACAAGTGTATAGCTTTGCTCGGGATGGCTGGTGCAGGGCAGGAACTCTTGACACGTGCCGAGAGTTCACAAATGAGCTAATGGTACATCCGATGGAAGCAAATGAAGATGACAAGACATCTGTCTAATTGGTTTTGTTTCTTCAGGGATGAATGTATGAAATATGTGATGCTTTCATAATGTGTTACCTACTGGAATTTTCCCCCAGAAGTAGGAAATCAAAACCAAGTACTGCAGTGAGCAGTCATTAACTTGTCCATCTCTCATTATGGAAGTGTAATGGTCCTTGGCTAGTTTAATGCTGTCTCTACTCAACACTTACATTGTGGAAAACAGTGACTTCATACACTTACCTTTTTTTTTTCTTTTTTTTTAGCATAGTATATCTTTGAAATCTTCAAATTGTCTACTTCAACCCTAATTTAATGAGAAAGCTATTTAATTCTTTGTTCTAGGAGTCTCTTACTGTTCTCTTGTCATTTTAAAATCACTGTACTTTTACAGAGCTGTGAAATGAAATGGATTTTTATGGACTTGATTTTGACAGTGCATGATCTTTTAACACTTTCCAGGTATCTAGAAAATGTTAAGAAGATAAACCACTCTGGTACATTAATGATTCAGAAAGATAAATTTATAATGAAATCACTCTGTACATGTAACTATTTTATTTGGCATTTTTGTATTTAAATGGCTGTATTTATTTTCATGTCATGACAATTTATATATAACGTGCCATAATTGTACAGATAGCATGTTTTATGAGTATGGTTTCTAAATGGAAAATAACTTAATGTTTATATTCAATAAAATTATAGACTGTGTAACACAATATCTTAATTAAAACTACTTTTGAAATTGCTACCTGTTGTAAGTAATGCTGGAATTCATTTTTCCAAGCCAACTACTTTGATCAGATTCTCGATAGCTGTCTCGATCCCAAACAGAAGCAGCATGCTTCGGAAGCGGGCGGGCACAGTTTCAATAGTTGCCATCTTCTGCTGCAAGACTGCAAGAAAAATACAACACTAGGATGAGTTTTGTAACAGTTGCACTATTACTGAAAGTAGCTATCAGCAATTGCCGTTTTGGATAAAACGGGTTATCTGCTGTCTAGAAGAGGAAAGATGTACTTGGTTTGTAAGCAAGCTGTTCTAAATTACACAGGAGGTGAAGCTTGGCTGCTTGCTAACTGGGAGTTGTTTGCCTGGTTGGGCTCAGCAAGATGGATTTCTGTTTTATCTAAGGAGATTTAGGCCAAAAAAGGGGACAGGTGTTCTACCTGAAAGCTCAGAAACTGTGTCTGAAGTGAATGACATTACCTTGCTCCGGCACTTTAGTCAGAAGGTCTAGAACAGGCGTAGTTCTCCCTTCTTCATCTATGTGTATCTTCCAAACAATCGTTAATGCAAACCTGTATCATGTGCACAGAAAAGTTAGTGAAGTGTTAACTAGGCACCTGTCTTTAAGGGTTCGTCAAAACAAAGTACAGAATTCAGGGGGTTTACACTCCTTGTGCTCTGAAACAAAATTCACCTCAGGCACTGCAACTTGCCCGTATCTGGGAACCAGAAACACTTATATTTTGAGGAAGAAAAACTGGTAGTTACTGACAAGGAAGTTATTACTTTGTTTCCATGTACATTCAAATTTTCAATCTCAAGGATTTTTTTCCCCCTGGTTCTTGTCTTAGATTCTGGTAAATGGTAAGTTTCTGTGGAACAGTGGTTAAAAAAAGTAAGATACAAAAGAAAACAGAGACAGCATTCCCCACCTGCCCAGTTACATAGTATCTGCACCCTGTGGTCAGGTATTGTGCTTAGGCACAGGGTGAAAACAGAGGGAAAGTGTTTGCGTACACGGTGATGTTCTGGGTTTGGAATAAGGTCCACCCTGATAGTGCTTGTGGCCTTTTTAGAGTAACGCCCAGGGAGAAATCTATCCAAGGCCTAGATTCCTGCATTTGTTTGCTTTTAGTTTAAAAAGAAACAAAATCTTACCCATCATTACTCCTTCAAGAGTGTTTTTTGCAAGGCTAATTACTATTTCCAGCTTTCACAGCGGGCCAAGATGACTACACCATACTGAGTGAACAGGCTGATGGGCACAACAACCAGTCAGGGCCAGGAGGAAGCTCCCTTTCTCAGTGTTGTTTGACCAGCCATGACTGTAAAAGTTTCCTTTAACTATGATTTGTCAGCCTTTTGTCACTTCATTGTTAAAAATCCTTTGAGAATTTGTGCACAGCTTGTTCTGGGATTTTTTTTTGCAAACACATTAATATGCAAGTGTGTTCTCTACCAACCCACTGAAATGATTTTAAATTCTTGTATTTCATGATGTGGGTGAGAGGGAATGTGTAATGGAACTTGGCACCTGTCAACATGAAGAGAAATTGTAAAATAAAGCAGCTGATTCTGTAACTAACTGTGATGGGCTAACAACAATTCATTTCACCAACCCAGAGTGAAAGCATTTAGTTTTAAATGGCAGATCTGGCTAAACTGCAACAGCACTATCTATTATGGTTCAACAAATATGAGGGAGCTATGCTTTATTTCCAGTTGTTTCCGTATAAATTAATGCATGTTATAGCAAAGATGTAATAGGAGAAGGGAATGATCTGATCCCTTCATAAAATAGTTAATTTTCTTGGCCCTGACACTGATAATTATATTGTCTTACATGCACCTTCAAGGATTATTTTACTCAGTGTAAAAACCCAAAGCTGCCAGAACACTTCTAGCAGGGAGCCCAAACAGCTCCAGCAGAGTAATAATAAATGGCTGTGCAATGGTCCTCTCCTCCATCTGATTGCCTTCTAAAACAAGGGAAAAAACATAGCTACGCTCACTTTCAGTAGCATGGTAACTGCAATTTTCTTTCCATTCCTTAATGGCTCGAAGACCAAAGAACCATGCTTTGCTGCGGTGATTTGTGATCATCACGCCTCCTACCAGAGCAGAAAGCGTGAGCTGTGATGACAGGCTGCCACGCTGGCCTTGCCTGCGAGAAGGGATAAGCTGGGCAGTCAGGCCCGGGGTGGAAAACACTGCTTTGCTTCACCTCACAGGGAGCAGCTGCCAGTGGCCCACCCTGCCACAAGAAGAGGGGTGTTGGCCTCAGCATCTGTTCTGCCCATCGCTCTGGCCATGTAAGGCAGGAAAAACCCCCTCGCTGGAACAAATCCAGCTGAACCTGATGTGTTTTCTGGTGTGTGAGAGGGAGGATGCATCCCACATTCCTAAACTTTGAATTTAGTCTCTTCATGCCAGCATGAGCTTCCAAAACCAAGAGAGTAGTAGATTTTTTTTTTTCCTAAAATGCAAATGAAAAGCCTTTCTAGAGCCATTTTTAAAAGAGTGGGTATACAACAGTAGCAGCATGATTGATTGACTTTCTAACAAGGCCACATGGACATGAGCTGTACACATATTCTTGGTTTTTTCTCCTCATGTTTTTAATTTTAGCCCTAAAATGTAACACGCATCATCTATCTCTGTGTTTAGAGGTGTTACACAGAGCAAAGAGAGACAATGTTCAAGCTGACCAATTATCTACAGATGTCACTATGCATTTCACAATTCTTTATCTGCATAAATCAATAAATTTATTTATTGGCTTACCCAGAAAGTTTGGGGTTCCTTAGAATTATATAATCTCCCAGCAGTCCTTCTGGAAGGGTCACGACGTCCGGATACTTGGCCTGTGAATAAACAGGTTCAAAAGGATATAAATTAGGTCACAAAAAAATCACAGTAGACAAGATGGTTCCTAGCTAGCGTTTCCCAGTTGCAACAGATTTTATTAGCTCGTATTTCTAGTAGTTTAATGTAACAATACTAACTGCTTAAAATTTTGACCTTTTTTTTTTAAAAAAAAAAGTTTTGATGGTTTGGGATTTTGGGGTTTTTTTTAGTATCATTCATGTGGTATCAAGAGATACTTAAATTTGGTCACCTCAGAGGAAAAATGAGTACCACATGCTTGTGGTACCACAGGCCTTAGAGGTCTTTGTGCAAGACCTATGATACCTTGAAAGAATACTTTTAAACTAAGTTCTGTTAATTTCATTTAATAACACATTATAATACATACCTCCCATGATGTAAATAACCTTACTAGTACACTCAGTTTTGATATTCCTTTTGACAAACTGGATCACCAAGTTCCATGCAGCGCTTTGAAGGCATAAAGCAATAAAGGCAACGAGATACCAAAATAACCACTATTAGCAAAATACAATGGGACGATGGAAAACGATAAAATATATAAAACTATTGACTACTATTCAACTTCCATGTTACTGGGAATTAGAGCTATTTTCAATTACTGCAGTGTACAAAGATTGATCATTGTTTCATTACTTTGTTAGTGCATCTCGTATTATAGAGCCTTCAATATGTATACCTTGAATTACCTAAAGACTCATAACTTTTTCTATAACTCTTTTAAAAGCGTGCAAAAGAAAAGCAGAATAGTAGCTATGTATGGATCCTTTAGAAGTTATGCAGTGTGTAAGGTGACAGGTTACTCAGAGTATGAGCATCAAAATACTGAGAAAGAACACAATTACTGCATCCCGCAGGGACATGCTATTGCAGAAGAAAACAGAACTAGACGCAGCCTGTTACTGTGAAGACTTCAACAATGTTACTTGCTTGTACTGTCTTATGTACTGGATACAAAGCTGTGTTCCAAAAATTGCAGTTTATAAAGTGTGAAAACTGTCAGCCTAAATGATTCTACAGCGCTCACAGGGCAAGTGGTATGTCTTACGGAAAAGGAGCGGGAGAGCTTGTCTTTGAAAAGCACTGGAGAAAATGAGTTCGGTTTTATAGGATTACGCCTCATCTGGCAGACTGAAATTGCTACCAGATGTGACCTTGCTCTGATTTAGGAATTTATGACAAACTGAAGGGGGTTTGTGCAGAATGCCAAATGACATAAAACAGATGGAATTTGCCAGTTTTAATTTCTACAGAGTATCTAGTACTGTATTTACCATGGGGATAAAGGCCACAATGTATTCTGGGAACAAAGACACAGGAGGGGCAACAAAGCGCACAGTAGTTACAGCGTGAAAACCTGGCTTATCTAGGGACGCTCGCCTAGCAGAACGGTGATCTTTTTCAGCTTTACTCCCTGTGGAATTATGCTCCTCTGACGACAAAATAAAGCCAGTTTTTCAGGCTTTCCTTCTCAATAACCCATACCTTTGATATTCATTATGAGCCTTCATTTGCCTGATATCACAGGTCTCAGAGAATCTAGCAACCTCTTTAGCTCCAGGTTGCAAATACTAGAAATTTAGGATTACTTTTTGTCTGGTGAATTCAACTCTCAAGTTCCTCATTTACAAGAGATCCCAGTACACCATAGCTAAACACTGAGTCATGTTTTATCTTCATCCGCCCATACCAAGACCTTTGGGAAGCACAAGAGAAAAGAGATCAGAGGAGCTAGATAACAGTTCCAATTTTCAAATCACTGTAAAATACACCCATGGCTTGTTTGGGAGTTCCTGTGTACCTGCCATAATCAACGCATTTACCCCCAACTAGTGGGTGGTATTTTACATCATACAAAAACCAGGGGTATCTCAAGGAAATCTCAAAGTGTATAGTTTTCTGTTGTCTAAAAAGCTTCCTTGTACCTGGGAGAGACTGCATTGGTGAGTTCTGCACACAGGAAGTGGATACTCTGTGCCTTCAATAAATGCCAGGGTTTTGACAATCCCTCTGAATGCTGTGAGAATCTGATCTGAAGTGAAATTCACAGGATTTGGGATAAAATCCAGCTTCTTAGTGGGAAAGATCATATCTTCGCAATCCACAAAACACACAAAAACCCAAAACGCAAATACCTACACCTGTCTTCAGGCATATTAACATGCTGAACTTGAAGTCATAACAGGGCATGAAGCAGTACCTGGCCCAGACCGACGTAAGACGTATGGCTGCCCATCTCACCTAAGGCTGACTCCTTAGAGCGATCGTGCGGCAGGAAGCAAAACTACCACATCCAGGGTTAAGTGAACAATGTTAAACACTGACAATTTAGGGAATAAAACCCAGGAAATGCAGTTCCGTGATCTGCCTTTCATATTCCACATATAAACTGTAATGCCTGTATCCCACATGTAAAACGAGGGGATCCGGCATGTAAACGAAAACCCAGGCACACAGCTTGCACAAGCTGCAACAGTCCTGACAGAACTACAATTCCAAACACACTTTGTGGGTACTGGCTTATCACCTCATATTCTCCGCTGTGCAACTGTCAATTTTCTAAGTTTTCTCCAGGGAAAAGAAAAGCCGAGCAATAACCAGGGTAACAGAACAACCCGAGCCACTGAAAGGTCCCTCGGGAAGGTCAGTAACTCCTATGCGGCCTCGTAAACCGGACACCGGGCAACTGAAAGATATCACATCAAGTACCGCGATACCAGATGGGAAAGATCAGCTGCAACTGCAGTAAGCAAAAACTGACTTTAATCATGAAGTATCTTTCCTCAGATGACTTTTAAATGTCAGTTTATGATCAAAACCAAAAGCCTATGCTATTATTACTTCTGGGCGGAAATAATTTTTCCAGCTCCTTCAGGAGTCCAAGCAGGGAATCTTATGGGAACTTTGTCTAAACCAGAAATAGTCTCAAATCACACAGGGACGACCTTCAGGATTGAGTACAGAGTCTTCCCTTTCTCCCATGACAGATTTTACAGATACACACACAGAGCCATCCCAGTGAATAAACTTGGAGTATCTATTTTTAAACAAAATACATTATTTTTCAGCTGTTTAAAATTGCATTGCAATTTTCTGCAACCTAAAACTCTTCTAAGGAAAATGTTTATAGTTATTCAGCTTAAGCATCATGACTAAGAATGCAAAGCAGAACTGGCAAGGCAGAAGCTGTACTAAAGCAGACAAATTCACTTCTAACCCACTTACCAAGCAAATAGGCTACTCTGCTCTTAGATGTAACAACAGGTCACACTTACTACTAATTCTGAACTTGGCATTCTGTAAGAAGGACTGTATATAAAGAATGCTAAGCAAGTCATGCTACTGTGAGTCCCTCCATAGGTGTAAGCCACTTCTAAATTTACCAAAGATGCTCCATTTAGGCTCTGAATCGGGGTGGTTTATATGGATGTTTTGCTCAGCTAAGGCCACGTTATCATCCACTGAAGTCACATACACAGTGGTAGCATCAAGGCCTTAAATAACAATATCAACTAACTTCAGGAATCCAAATACAAATTATTTGCAAAAATGATGAAAATTCTAGATACTGTAGAATACCAACAACGACATGATTAAATTCCAGAAGCATGAAACAGTCACACCCAGTGCACCAGCCAGCTACCCACTGCAGAAATGTAGGTCCGTGTCCCTTAAGGAGCCATCAAGTGGAAGCCACCCCAATGCTCTGCCCCTCACGCTCCTCAAGAGCTAGTCTGAACTCAGAGTGGCTGTGTTCTCCAACAGCCTCATTCTCTGCTTTTAGCTGCAGTCTGATTTTTAAATTACAGTAATCTAACAGAGATAACTGAGGACAAAAGGAATAAGTTTACTATTACCATGATCAAGTCCTACAGATAGTAAAAACCAGTAATCACCAGGCTACAAAATGAAAGTGCAGCAATTACATTTTTGGAAATTAGTTTGTATTTCTACTTTTACTTTTACTAAGCCTTCTGCTAGCCCAGATAACTACAGTGCCATTTATGAGATCTGGTCTGACAATTTATCTGTCTTTAATGCACATTGTTAAAATATTTGGTGCTTCACCAATAACTCTTATCCTCAAGTCACGAGCTATGGTAATCTGTCATAAGATGAATGTCACATATCGATTTTCAATCAATTATCTTTCTAGAAATGTCATTTAAGTTGCTTGAATGAGTTTCATTTGTAGATATTGCACTACAATTTGTTAATGCATTTCAATTAACTGAAATATTTTATCCTGTAAGACAGCTGTCTCCAGTATAAAAATATAACAAGGATTTATACTTTCCCGTCCATATTTGCAAAGCACAGTGGCAAACCCTATGTCAATGAAAAATTTCTCCAAGAAATTTAACTTTTCTGGTACCAACAATGCACCTCTCAGACTTAAACAGAAACAACAGTCTGCCAGTACAGTGTAACTGAGAAATGAGTAATACTGTATCTAAAAAGAAGTGCATCCTATTTTTCCTTCTTTTCTTCCTCTCCACTGCTTTGACTGGGCAAGAGCAGCACTGTATAAATTGATGCACACTGAAAATCTGAATGCGAGGATGAAAGAAAAACCTGTAATCTAGGCAGATGAAGACATGTAAGAAAACCATGGTTTTCAGAAGATTTTGTCTCAAACTTGCATTTTTTTTGAGACTTCTTTTGAGTTGAAAATCAATAGGAAAAGTCTGGAATCTTCAGAATATGCAAGGAGAAGAGAAACTCGTTGCCTGCAGATGCTGTAAGTTTGTCATATACTGAAGTTGATGCTCTTTATGTAGACGTGTTTGCTGCACAATGGCAGTGTTGGAGTATTTTTAATAGAATACTGTAAACACTATGTTCATTAAACATTATGCTCAAAGCTGAAAGGTCCAAAATTTGACTTTGAAAGCGCCGTATCATAACATTCAGTAAACGATTTGCAGTCTGATGAACTGGAATTACCGAGTCAGAAAAACAAATGATTCACAAA